GATGAACAGCTAATGAAAGGTTTAAGATTAAATGAGATTCGTACGAAAATCAAAGCAAAAGATGTTTTATTTGAAGTAATCTCAAGCCTAAATATTTGATATTAGCTTGAACCTACAGTAACACAGAAAACATGCTGAAATCACTGTGTGCAAGGTGGAAATAATCTGTAGATTTCGTGGTTGTTTTACTGTAGCTGTGACTATCAGTTACAGTGCTTTTTAGTCATTTTTATGGGACATTTTCTGGAACTGGTTACATTGTTTAGCTGCACAGGAATTTTCCAAGATTTATTTTAAACTATACAGAATTATCCCCCAAAGGAATTTATTCATCTACTGATATCGAAGTAACTGATCATAAACGACTGCTACTGAATATAAAACTTTCTTTTTGGCTTAGATATTGGATTTAACTTTAGCCATTGATCGCATCATTCGTCAAAATTTTAAGCTAACATTTCCGAATTACGATGTTATATAAAATTGGATGAAATTATAGTTACTTTTATAGGTTATGGTAATATCGTTCCAACAACAGATGCAAGTAAATTATTTTGTATATTTTATACGTTGGTTGGAGTACCGCTTCTCTTTCTATCACTAACAAATATTGGTCAGTTCATCGCCGAAGGTTATTGGATTTTCCTGGCGTCACTACGAAGGACACAAGTATTGTTTATAATTCAAATAATTAATTTTTTAGCATCAGAAAAAGATTGGTTGGAAATTATTAGAAAAACCATCAAAATATCCGCAATTTTCGTTCAAATAATGCAAAGATTTTGTTCGCAAAATTTAACACTCTGAAATTTTTGATAAAAAATAAAAATTATAAATGCAAAAATACATTGAAATCATGGAAAAAAATAATACATTATATATCCACCATTTCCAAATGCCATCGACTAATTTGATCCATAATTGTACTTTAATTTAAATTTAATCAAGAAGTATTGTTAGATGATAATACTGTCGGAGCAATTAAATTAAATTTGAAAATATTCATCGATTTATCTCATTTTGTCAAATTCGCATGTATATTTCAGTGCATCGATACAGCAGACGAGCGTCGTTTACCACTAACAGTTGTTGTCACATTGTTGTTGTCACATTCGATTGTCGGTGGCTTAATATTCCATTTCTGGATTGATGAAATGCCTGTTATTCCTGCAATTTATTTTAGGTTTATCACCATTCACTCATCATTTATCCATGGATATATAAAAAAACATATCTCCCCACTAACTTTTTATTTCTTCCATCTTCATTTTTAAAAGAAGAATAAAATGAAAATAAAAATTAATCTTTTTCTTTTTTCTCAATTTATCCTTTCCTTTATTTTTTTGGAATCGAAAGCTTATGCCAATTTATTAATTTTAATCAATTTATTTACTTTAAACTTTAACTTTTTTTTTTAGTTTTGTTTCAATTACAACAATCGGTTATGGCGATATAACACCAACACCGACAAGTGCTTTTCAAACATTTATTATTATCCTTTATCTTGCGATTGGAATGGTAAGTTAGATTGAAATTGACAATGAATTTCATTCAAAAGAATGAGCAAAGTTTCAAAGGATTAGAAGGAGTTGATTAAAGTGATTGAAAGAAATTTAAAAGTATGATCAATTGAAATGTGAATTTTTTAAATACCTTAAAAGAATAATGCAAGCGGAAATGAATTATTTAATGTAATTAGTTGTATTTTATTCTAAAGGCAACTTTGGAAATATTATGTATTATTATGCCTCAAATAAATACTCTAGCATAGAAATAACTTCTTCAGGTGATAATGTCAACATTTATCGCCTCACTCTATAATTACCTTCGAAGACTACACTATCTAGGGCGTAGCTTCAGCGGAGCAGCTCATGTTGAAGTATGGTTTGGTGGTGCGAAAATGTCAGTATCCGAACTACTTTGTATTGTTGCGGAAGAATTTAATGTTAGTAAATTTATTTATTACTTTTGCAGAAGAAAGTGAATTAAATGTACTTCTTCTTTTCAAAATTTCTTTCTTTTTTTTTATTCTTAACAATTATTTCTTTGCTAAATAAATTAAAATTTTAATACTAATTTGAATGAATAATTTGTAATTTAAAGTAAATTACTTGGATGAAAAGCCATTGCAAGCCTTTTTATATAAACTGAGTCTGATGCTCAGTAATTAAGTTCATTAATAACTGAGATTACTCAATAACTTACAGCACTAAATATCAAAATGATCTTTGTTTTCATTAATATAAATTCATTTATAAATTATTTTTTTCTTGCATACATGTAAACATGAAAATACTTTGATTTCCTTTTTTCTTTTTTTTTCTTTTTTTTTTTTTTTTTAACAAATTTAGATAAATTATAAAATCAGTTTGTTGAGAAAATTTGCAGGTTTCACCAAAAACGCTTTATGAAGTACTGCACGATTTGGATGACATAATTACGGAAGCAACGGATCCAACAATAAAGGCAAACATTGAAGAAATACAAAGCCGTCGTCAGAGTCGGATTTCACGTTCAGAAATGCGTGAATTCCGAGAACGCATGAAGAAAGGTGTTCGAGTAATAAAAGTCAAAGATGAAAAACCAGGAAATGCACATGCAAGTTTTGCATTCAATTATGCTCACTAATGAGACGGTTAAATATGAAAGATTATAATGACTACCTTATTTGCATCGTTACTTTGAAGCTTTTTATATATTTTATTCAATCTTAACTTTTAGGTTATGATAAAAACTGACTCTGCCAAATGCTTAAATAGAATCCCACAAAATGAACGTGAAAATGTACGTCATTTTCTTAATCATCAAATTTGTTTGGTGAATTGATAATCATCAAATTTGATTGGCAAATTGATAATCATCAAATTTGTTTGGTGAATTGATAATCATCAAATTTGATTGGCAAATTGATAATCATCAAATTTGTTTGGTGAATTGATAATCACCAAATTTGTTTGGCGAATCAATAACCGAATGTCTGATAGATGTGTAAAACATAAGTCATCGAAGAGTTTCATAATATCAACTGTCAAATTGCCCTATATTTAATTCACCTGTACGAAATAATTAAATTACCGTTTGAGCTGGCTTCTTCTATTTCTTTCATTGCTTAAAATTTCAATACAACGGTAATCGATTTTGAAAATTTTCCACTAAATGAAAAGCATAAATTCAAATTTCGATTGTATCTAATATTTTAAATGCAATTAATTAAGAATTGAAAGATGCGTATAATTGAAATGAATTTCAAACAGGTGATACAAGCGCTTGGCATGTTTCATCACGTGGTCAAGACGAAGTCAAATCTTACAGTTAAACAGCGCTCGTCATCAGTCTCAACAAAATTATATAATATCAACAGTTCTTTGACAACTGAACCAGGCTAATTTGATTTGCTCATATAAATAAATCATTAATGTAAATAATATTTTTCATAAATGTTATTTCTGGCATCAAATGATATTATTTATTCTTTAGGATGATATCAAATTATTGATGATTGATAGTTAGAGATAAGATATGACTGGAGAGAAGTCGAAGTGTTTGTCATCATTGTTTAAGGAAATGTTCTTTCTCTTTTTTCTTTTGGTTTTCATCAATTCTTCATATCTTGTTATGGACTTGAAATTCATTTTTTAATAAGCATTATTCCAATTCCTCAACTTACATTTTGGATGGTAACGGCCTAAACAAAGAATAAATGTTAATGCAATCATTCAAAAATATAGATTGAGAAATAAAAAATAAAATTTTTAGGCCAGTCATTTGAAAATTTAAATTAAGTAATTCTCATATTTTGAATATTTCATCAATTTCGAATTGAGATTTCGGAATCACATCCGATTAATAGCATTGATACCAGAAAATTTGAGAAATTTTTACAAAACAAACAGGTGGAAGTGAAGGAGTAATTACTAATTAACAAAATATTAATCGGAAATGAATGATTAACAAACGAAATTATTTTAAACCGAAAGTTAGTCTAATTATTTTGTATGTTTCGCCAAAATATCAATCATTACTTTTATCTATGCATTGCTATCAATTAATTTAGCCAAAAAATGAAAATCAAAAATTTGCAGCACCAATTACTTTGTTTGCGTTGTGAATAATTTTCTTATTTATTTGGTAATAAGACGGAAGTTGGGTGTTAAGTTAGTATTATTCCTCCATCCTGTATATAAATTATTAAGTCGATTTTAGCGTATATGTTAGCCAATAAATAATGATAATATTTACAGTCATCCAACAGTGATAACAATATCAGCAGTAATCATGATTTTTATCTATAGCATATAAGTTAATTAATATTTTGAAATTTTTAAAATTTAACAATTTGCCTAGCTTTTCTCTTGTATTTGTCAAAATTTAGGGATTTATTTTAAGATTTCCTTTCTCGGCTTGTCAATATAATTCTTTAAAACTGGTCCAAACAATGTGATCTCTCCTCTTATATCACTAGTTCGTTTCATATATGCAATTATTTTTCAATAAAGAATTTGAAATATCATTCAGGTTGTAGCAATGCATTATCCTGGAAGTTCAGGAGAAATTCGATTGACTCAGGAAATCTTCATCCCTCGATAAATGTCATCTAAGAGATGAAAAACAATACAAACAAGTAATGTCTGAAAATTTTTCGAAATCTAACTAAACAGAAAAATACAATAGTTTGGACTGATCAAAGTTACAAAACCAATTTCGAAGTAACCTTTTAAGTGCATTAAATCATCTCTTTTTAAAAATTGTTTGGGAAAATGAAGAATAATTTGAACTGATTCAGAATTAGCTAAATAAGTTTTTAATTCAAATATAAATGGCGATATTTACCGACGATATTTAATGCTTTTCTCATTTAAATAAATATCGATCGAATCATCGATTTCCTTGTATCAAGACAAGTTTCAAAACTCACGTAATAACAGAATTAACTTAGTTGTATCATTTTAATTTCAACAAAACTTGTGAGTGGAGACTTATACTGTGTTGACAAAGCTAGTGGTCCCGTGGTGTAGTGGTTAGCACTCAGGACTCTGAATCCTGCGACGAGAGTTCAAATCTCTCCGGGACCTAGTAAAACACCCGGTTTTTGTTGGCATATTAGAAAAATATTTATGGGAAACTTCGTCAGCAACTTGACTGTAAGTTATTTTCACTGGTCAAATATTTCTTTGACCTTTGACTTTACAAGAAGTTTCTGGTTGTTTTATTTCTGGTCTGCGAGGAGTGTCAGAAAGTTTATATCCTTAACATATGTGACTTATCATGGTTGTTTAACCTTTGACCCAAAAGAACACAATTCAGATGAATATATGAAATACAAACATGAATGATAAAACAATTATAATATGCTTTGATCTACAAAAATACTGGTTTCAGCTGTTCACCGGTTGTTTTATCAACAGATACCCGGTTAGTTGTAAATGGGGCCGCGATACCTTTCCCTAGTTTACAAAATAATATATTTGTGATGAATAGAAAACCGGCATGCAGGATGAATACATAGTACCATTCTTCAGACAGGCCATTCGGCGTTAATGAGGTCACAATAAATGGTACTGTAAGCATCGCTATGCACATTACTACCTGAAAATTTTGATCTTATATTATTCTTCTTTAAATTATTTACATCATCAATTTGTAAGAATTCCATTCGATTGCTGTTTGTTGAGAGAAATAGATGGTCATCCTGAATAGCGATATATTTCCAGATTACGAAATACCAGAAATGGTCACTTTTTCCATATTTAACATTTAATCAATAAATCATTATGGAAAGAAAAAATTTTCGAAATCTTCAGCGAAACTAAGTAGTTTAGTTCAGTTATTTTTTAAAATTAAGTAATTGAAAAGTTTTTAAAAAATGCAAAATAATTCATATGATTCATTCATTACAATCATTTGAAAGGTGTAAATAACTTGCAAACAAAGTGTTTTGAAAAGTTAGCTCTGAAAAGTTTAAACTATTCCTTTTTTCAATAATATCCACTTTTTTCTTTATTCTTTTCCTCTTTTCTTACTAAAAAGGAACAGATTTTAAATAACTAATTTGCTCACGGTTGACAAAATTAGCATTACAATGCTAAGGTCACAAAATCCCTGATCAATGATACCTGTACGATGGCACTGACGAAGTAGCTGTACTGTCGACCTACCAATGTACAACTTTTGAAAAAACCACCTGTATTGAAACCAAGAATTGTCGTTGCACTAGTTAGGAAAATGAGCGCTAAAGTTGTTCGATTTGCTGATGTATATGCTAAAGCAATGAGGAAAATGCCCATACCAAAAAATGCTATGGTATTAAATAAACGAACCTAAAATGAAATCCAGATAAATCGATAATGTGAACGATTCAAAAGTAATCATTCAATAGTTCATATCTTTTACGAAAATTTGACACAATTTTGTAACAAAAATAACTTCATCTTCAATTATCTAGAAATCATTGCTCAAATATTTATGAGGCTGAAAAATTTTCAACGTAAATATTATCTTACAGAGCATTCTCAAATCGAAAAAAAAAAGGAAAGGGTTTTTCAGATGAGTTCCAAGTTCAACTACAGTTTCATTTCAAAAAGTTGAAAGTTCAAGTTTTTTTAGGCAAATAATAATATTGAATCTTAAATTAACCGAAGAAATTGAAATTGACCTTGGTGGTTTCGCTAAGTGATGTAATTTTATCACTAGTAGAACCAGCCAATATTTTGACTGCAAATTGCAATACTGTCGGTAATGCTGCGGTTAAACCAACACTTACAATTGGTAAACCGAGTACCTTAAAATTATAAATTTGAATTTAAATTAAAAGAAAAAAATTGATAACCCTAATTTATTGCATGTCTCTAAAAAGAAGGGGAAAGAAAATTGAATGATTTCATTCAATTACAATTACTTTTCTTTTATAATCATAGTCAAAAATGAAACAGCTTGATAAGCTAACTTGACTTATATAAGTTGGCGCAAAAACAACGACCATTTGAATACTGTACATATTACCGATAGCTGCAATCCAAATGGCCCAAACTGACGATGTTTGGAAAATTTCTCGAATTGGCAGCTTAAAATATGATTCATAATCAAATTTGTATTGATTATTCTTTAAAATTGATCAAATTTTGAATCATTTGTAATAACCCAATTGATTTCGTATTTTATAGTAGCTGAATGCAGCCACGTTCCGCGTGGCCAATCCACTATTCTATACGGGCTGGCACTTTTCGCGTGTCTGGCTCCAGCTAATCTATATACATAAAAACATGATTATTCGTTTGTTCTAAATCTTAAACCTCCGAAAGTTCTTGAACACGCGCCTTACCTGCATTTATTCGAAATTTTAGATGTCGGAAAGTCCTCACCTGTTGCTTTGAAATTTTGACAGAACGTTGCATTCGAATACGCCATGTTTTCATACATGCGTTGCTGTAGCTCAGTCTGGTTAAGTGGAAAAAAAGAAAAGGGAAAGCGCATGTTTCCAGTGTTGGGAAATAAAACTAATACTTTGTAATTTGATTTGTAATTTGGCTGGATTGGAGACTGATTCTTGCTATTGTGATTAGGCTAGGTCAGCAATAGGTGTGAAGAGGTTTTTGTGTCTTGTGTGACAGAGATGAATGCTGTTGAGAAATGTATTATTGATGATGGGAAGTGTTTCTTCGTAACGAACAATTATCAGGGAAGATCCAGGCAAATTGATCGCTGGGTTATTCTTTCCTTTGTCGCTGATAGAGAAGAATACTGTTCAAGTGAATTGTTCGATTATTTCTGCTGTTGTCTATTCGCTTTGAACTGTCGAACTGGAACACTTGGAACTCCGAACTTTGTTGTTGCTGCGTCGATCTTTGAATTTTGGTAACAAACGCATTTGTCATCCCTTTGAAACTATGTCGCGCCACTTGTATTTCTTGTTTACAGTTATTGTCATGGCTTATTTCACATCTTTCAGTTATCGCCCACATCTAATATGTGTATGTTTATTTTCGCAATTCTTGCAGGTGTGCAATATTTTTTATTGTTCCATTGTCTGTGTAGATATAGAGATTGTCTGGTTGTCGATTGTAAAAGGAGAATGAGAGAAAAAGGGAGGCGGAGTCAATAAACTCCGCCCTCTCACGTATTTTTAGTTGACACGCACCTAACACGTGGAAAAAAAATAAGTCAAAGTAAGTGCGTCTGTATAAGAGCACGCGCCTATTTGAACGCAAAGTTGCGTCAAAATTTGAAAAAAAATAGGTGGAGAACTTGAGGAGTTCATTGCGAAGTAATGGGTAGCATTAAGATTTTTATTTATATAGATTTATATATGTTTCAAATTTAAATTTGAAGTGCAAGTATATAAATTTTTACTACAAATTAATAGTAATGACAGACCTTCTCATTGCTTCGTTTTGCTTTATTATCAGTTTTTCCGTCATTTATCAAACTTAGTTCGTAAGCGGAAACCCAAGGAACATCATCTGGTTGATCCCTTCAATCATAATATATTTTTATAATTATATTACCACACAGAAATTGGAAAGAGACAGAACATTTTCGAAATATTATTTCAGTCTTTCTTTTTTTCAATTTTAAATTCTTGAAAAAGTGAGAAATATCAGGATTGAATGGATATGCAAATGAGTTTCAATGTTTCCTTTATAAAATACCTGTACAAAATCCACCATAATATAAGGAATATCAGCGTTATTGTAGCATGGACATAAAAAACTGATGGCCATCCTAGGCTTGTTGAACATAGAAATCCTGACATTGGCATTGTTATCACAGGGCCAAGCTGTAAGGAATAAAATTGAAATATTTGATGAAATTTTCATGAATGAAATTTAGATGAGCAAATATATGATGGGAGTGTATAGGAGCGAACGAATTTTGTTGGTTCGCCGGGCGTTGTGGCGAGCGCTTGTGATCCAAGTGACTGGGAGGCGTGTGGTGGTGGATGGAGTGAGAGGAGGAGTCCTGGCTGATGCTTGGCGGTGGCGACCGAGCGTCCAGGCCAAGCGTGGCGTCGACAAGGCGTCGGGACAGGAGTGTCACCGGCACCTGGTCGCATAATGAGGGGCGTACGGCTCAGGGCCGAAAGGCAGCAGGCAAAAGTCCCCGCGTCATGACAGTGGTCGGATAGCGCTTGCGAGCCGTCGGCATCAGCCAGCCTTGTCAATACCTCCAGACCCATCACTTTTGCTCAATGGTCAAGGTCATTTTCTGTTTCTTAAACCCTATTTTACATGAATTGGCTACTTCCACGCTAGTTTCCAAGTTTCGGGATTCAAAGAGAATTCTGCTGCATTAAGCAACATTATTGATTAACATTATAATAAGCAACATTATTGATTAGTTGGTTTTTTAGCTTGTCGTGTCAATTATTATTGTCCTCTGTTCATCAGCAGCCAAATTGTCTGACAGTTGAATTTCCTGTCAGTTATGATATTGATGATTAAAAAATTAAAAATTGCTATGACTTTTTTTTGAAAAAGAAAGTCAACAACAATTTAAAAAAAGAAAAAAAAAGGCCTGAATGAAACTCGTAAGTGCTCCACTAAACAATCCGTTTTCGGTGAGTTTTGCCCAATTTGATGTTACCGAACCGATAAGTGGCATGCATGATGCAAATCCGACACCTGCAAAAGATTCAAATGCCCTCTGTGTGCTATGAATTTTTTCGGATAGCCTGCAAAACATTATTCTAAAATAATTTTTAATAATTCTATCCACTTCTCATAAAACTTCCTATTTTCCGTAAATTGATTTTTAAAAATTATAATTTGTAACATTCGTTCGATTCATTTCAAAAGAGCAAAACCTTGTAAAATCCTGCTAATGGTCAAATAGACGACACCAAAGGAAGCAGCTAACGGACATAATGCCGTCGATATTCCGGAAACCACCATGACAAAAGCAAATGTTTTCCTGAACTGATTTTTTATTTCAGTGAAAAATGTATTATACCAGTTTTAAAAATGAAATTGAGATGAACTAATTCCCAACATAAAAGTTGAAAAATTTTAATCTCCCTAATGATCATACTATTGTATTTATTACGATCCGAAGAAAAAGAAACGATATTTTAACGGAATTTGCATGTTCTAAGATATCTCGGCATTGTTATCTGATAAGCATTCCGGATTGATTTGACCCGAAATACCTTGTTCCGTAACGTTGAATGCTGAAACTTATCGGAAGAATGGCAAGCAACGCTCCAATTGCAATAGCTGCAAACAGTAGAGATCGTTCACGTGACGTATACTTATAATCAGCCGCTTTCTGGAGAACACGTTGACGATAGAGAATGGTACCATTGGGATGAATTGATAAAATGTCGATTTCCTGAAAATAGAATATCCAAAAAGTCTTTTCTCATTTTTTAATTTCTATTTTAAATTCTTGTTTCTTTCCTCAAATTTTTTGGATAAAATATTTCATTTTGAATGCTATTACTATAAATCCTCCTGAATGTCAATTCTTCCATTCTTACACTTTTACCATTTTAGGTTTGCTTCTTTTGCATACCACAAGAAGCTAAAATACTTATTTGTAATAGCGATTTTTGTTATTTCCTAATATTTTAAAATTGAATAAAAGTTCAATCAATTTTTTTTAAAAAAATGAAACTTATCATAACTACAAAACAGTGTGAGAAATTGCTAATAAAATGTCATTAATTCAATTTTGATGAAAAAATCTTCTTTCTTCTAAAACAATAAAACTATAATTACTAAAATATTTTAGAATGAAAAACTATTCTAATTGTTTAAATTTATAATTGAAATCAAGAGTTCAGGAAGAATCGGAGCGACGAGCGCAATGGAGACATGCTAGGCCCGTGACCCAGATGTCAACGGATCAAAGTCATTCGTTGCTATGTTGTTAAATCGTTGCACATTGTCAAGTGGGAATTTTGTCTGGTTTCGGTTAAAAAAATGAGTCAATTCGAAAAAACTTGCATAGCACAAGGCAAATAATATCCAGTATGCGTGTGATTTAATAATAAAAAAGAAAAATTCGTTCTTAAAAAAAAAGTTGCCGCAAAAACTTGTCAATTCTTTAAAAGCAATAAATGAAATTATAATTAAAACTGTAATTTGGAATAAACAATGAACGTGGTACAATGAAAGAATGCTGATTTTGGAAGATTAATGAATCAAGACAACTCGCAATTATTTAGGTCAATGGTGTGGTATTATAAAAGAATTTCATCAGTTTTCAAGAATGAAAAGAAAACAAAATAAATCACTTGTAATGAATTGTTATCAAACTGCTTGTGTTGTTGATCAGATGATTGTAATTTGTTTGTTATAAATATCTTTATGGCATACTGCATTGATTGATTAGAATAATTCCCAGATTTTAAATCTGTAACAGGAAAAAGGCAAACTGATTATCATAATTTTTGCCACTTAACTCTTACCACTTCGGTTAAAGTTAGTTTTTGGAAAAAAATTAGCGTATTATGAATCGAAATTCGAATAATATTCATTATTTCATAACTAATTAAATCATATTATTCCATAACTAATTAAATCGTTATCTGCATAATACTACCATTTAATTTATCCATTTTGATATTGCCTTCTAAATAATCATAATTATCAGCAGTCATGCAAATGATGCAAAAATTGAATGTAAGCATATTGGCCATCATCATTGACAGACAGATAGTTGTGAGGAACAAAATAATCATTCGATAACCAATCATTATTTTCTGAAAATCATGATTATTTTACCATAATTTTTTTTAATCCTAACTTTCGAAATTATTTAGATAAATGTAGGATAATCAGACTTATGCATAAAATGGAATATCAATGAATAGCAGGATTGCTATCACTGTATTAGTTTCGTAGAAGTTGTGATAAGATATAAATATTGATCCAACCATCGGTACATTGTTTTTTATCGTCGATTTTCTTATTCATTATCCATTAAGATTTATGAAACTTGTAATTTTTGCTTTAATAAAATTTTAGTCAAAACTTACATCATAAAAAACTGGAAATAAAAGTTCCATAAAATGAATTTTCTCATCGCTTCTTAATAAACTTTTTCCTAAGAAAAAAAAAAAAAAAAAAAAGAATGAAATCATAAAATTTCTAAATAAATTTGTTAAATTTAGTGCAAAATATAAATTAGCACTAGCTAACTGATAAGATGATCGTTGTTGTTATCATTAATTTGAAGCTAAAATTTAAGAAGAATGGAAAAAAGGAAAACTTTTGAAGTAAAAACCAATCTGACTATTTACGTAACGATTTCATTCGACGGTATGTTTTCGCTAAATATATATTAATTTTTTTTATTTTTATTTTTTTTCTGCTTTCTATTTATTCATAATAACAATGAGTAAAGAATATTTCCAAAAAAGAAGACAATTCTTTTTTATTAAACAAATATTTAAAATACAAACAAATGATGTGTTAAACAAATATTTAAAATACAAACAAATGACGTGCCAGGACGTGGCGTTTTTTTGACGTGGGGTGAAGTGTTGTATTGGAAGAAAGCAATACAACAAAAGATGAAAAATACTGAGAGTTAAGCAGTGTTATGTTCTTTCTAATTCTTATATTTTTTCCTTTTCAACTGATATCTTTTCATTTCTTATTCTGAAAAATGACATTTTGTCATAAAAATGACATTTTGAAAACAATTTTAAAAAAATTAGGAAAAAAAGTTCTAAAAAAACGAATAAAGTTTCACAGCCATTTCTTCATTAAGATTTTTAATAATAAAGAAAAAGTCATTGTGGCAATATTTTCTTCTTTTTTTGAGTCATTTGAATATGGCATTTGATTTCATATAAACACTTGATTAATTTTATTATAACTATCATTTTAGTCCAATAATCTTTGAACTTCAAATGTTTTCAAAACTGAAGAGAAAGATTAGATTATCTATACAAGAAGAATTTATTTCCTTCTAATAAACAAATATGCAAATATCACACAACATTTCTTTTAAATTATTTACAAATTTGTATAATTATTTTTTTAAAATTTTTATTAAAATAGGAAGCGTCATTTGTTAAATCATTTTCTAGAAATTGCATCTCTTCAATGTGGTTGGTTCATCTGACTTTGCTTTTTTCTGTTCTGGCAAGGATCATGCTGGATATACCCATGCGGATTCAGATAGATTCTGATAATACAGGATTCAAAGAGTGCTTCCAGAATTTAAGTTTGAAATTGATCGGAATAGTTTAAAATCATAAACATGAAACAGATACTATGATAAAGAAAAGTTCTCTTAGTTAACAATAGTTTTCGGACATCTTCAAGTATTTAAGATTAACTTATCGTTTTATTTTCTCTGTATCATCAATTCAATCTCAGTTATATAAAAATAAAAAAACAAAACAAACTTTTTAAAATTCATATAAACTTGAATAAATTCAGGAAATACTGTTAAGTTGCAGAATTAGCACGCATTGATGTCCGAAGAGAATACGTTACCATATTTTCATGGTGCCTTATTGGATGACGATGTAGATAAATTGCTCGAATCAAATGGTGATTTTTTATTACAAACCAAATTTGAACAAAGCAAAAAGAAAAACAAATTGGTGTTGGCCGTTAAGCATGATCATCGAACGATAAGAGTACCAATTTCACGACTTGAAAAAGGATATCGCATATCTGTATGCATAAAAATCACATTTGAAATATTTGATTTTCCACAATTTTTTGGAAATGATTTTATAATAAAAATTCATTTTGCCAATTTTTAATTATTCCATATCATTCAAGAATAATTGATAAACTATGACACTATATTAATTTCAATATTCTAGATTAACTCATATCTTTCTTTTTCTATCACTTAATTTAAAAATCACGAAAGCGTTTCGGACGAAAAGCACAGAAAATCGTAGTCTAATGGAAAAATGCACTGCAAACTTTAGGGACGTTCATTTCCAACAATGAATACATTAATAAAATATTATCACGAACATAGTATCGAAATAAATGGAATTGAATCGTTACTTCTGAAGAGACCGATAAAGAAAGGCAAATTCCAACTGAACCATTCCGATATTAAAATCATTAAAAAGGTCCAAAAATCTTCTCTCATCAATAATTGAAAAGAAAATTGATTTTTCAAAGTTGGAAAAACTCCAAATTATTCATTCGTATCTGAATAAAATTAAGCAGTGGAACTAATTACCTAAACAGCCAAATACAA